AGAACAAATTTTATTTAATGAAAAAAGTGATGGTTATGAAAATTTTGAGGATACTTTATATTTCCAGAACAAATTTTATTTAATGAAAAAAGTGATGGTAATGGAAATTTTGAGAATACTTTATATTTCCAGAACAAATTTTATTTAATTTTATTTTGATGATACTTTATATTTCCAGAACAAATTTATTTAATGAAAAAAGTGATGGTAATGGAAATTCTTTCAAAAGCACTTTGTAAATTGCATAGATGTATAGCGCAATAATAATGCATATCGAAATACCTAAGAAGAGTTTACGTTACATTGGTTTGTTCTGATTTTTTTATTTTTACGAATTCTTTATAAACTAGAAATTTTTTTCTGCTTGACTTCTTAAATAGGCAGGAATGTTTTCAAACATACTATGACGATTTAATTGTACAATTAGCTCGTACATATAAGTATTGGGTCTCAAGTTAAAATTTTCAGGTTGTAAAAAATAAAAATAAAAAAAAAAAAGAAATGAGTAGCCTCCTCGACAGTAGTGGCCCCCTCGGGCCTTGGGGAGGTGAATAATTAAAAAAAAAAAAATGAAAAAAACTAAAAAAAAACTGAATTTTAAAATATCTTTGAAGAAGTTTTCTAAGAGTATTACTAATATTATATGGATTTTCGTTGAATATACTTTTATTCCAATTCAAATATTCTACATGTTTTTTTATGAATTTTTAAAAAACAATAATTAATAATTATTTTTTCTCCTAGCATTTTTTAAAAAGCAAACAAACAAAGAATTGTAATTTTAATATTTTGTAAAATTTCCAATTAAATAATATACTTTTAGCTTTGTCTAACATTAATTGTGTCGAACTTTAATTTTGTCTAATTTTGATTGTGTCTTACTTTAATTGTTCCTTACTTTACTATTTGTATCTAACTTTAATTTTGTCTAACTTTAATATTGTCTAACATTAATTGTGTCTAACTTGAGTTTTCACTAATAGTATCTATCTTTAATTGTGTCTAACACTAGTTGTATCTAACATTAATTGTGTCTAACTTTAGTTGTATCAAACTTTATTTGTGTCTAAATTTAGTCGTGTCTAATAGGGTGGCCGAAAATTTTTTTTGCTGATTTTTGATTCGCTATACCGCGGAAAACATGCTTCAAGGGTATCTAAGGAAAATGCAAAAAAAATAATACCATCATTTTACATCTGTAACTAGCGCATCGTGCTTGAATATTTGAATAAATACTCGCTTTTTATCATTTTCGTAACAAATTTAGAGTATTCCCAAAATGCGCTGCAAAATTGGTGTTTTTTCTTGCCACAACAACTGGTTTTGATATAACTTTGTTTTGATTATTTGATAATATTAACCAACCTGTGATGGCTGTTTTTAAAAAAATTACTTGAAGCGAATTTAAGTGCCCGGTGTTTGGTCATCCAATAGAATTATCTGCAAAAAAAACTTTCAACTTATGAAGAAGTTATCAAGTGTTGTTTTGAAAATTACAAACTAGCCTTAAAATCAAACAACAAACCAGTTAAGTTTTCTTATGTTTTAAATTGTGTCGCACAACAAGTTAATTCAGTGTTTGATAAAGCTTCAATACCCACAGTAACAATTTTTAGTTATCCAATTAATAAATGGATACCATGACAGTTATCGCAAGCTTATGAAATCTTTCAACCGTGATGAAAAAAAAGGAAAGTTCAAAAAGAGAATTGATTTTAAAACAAAACCATTGTTATTGTTTGATGTTTCGGCGTGTAAGTGTAAAATAACATTAGACAGAAAATATAAAATGGTAACTGAAATTTGTGAATGCGAGTTTTCTGTTTAAATTATCTGTATGTGTGAAAAAGAAAAAAATCCCCATCATTGAACTAAAATTTGTGTACTTCCAAAGAATGCATGGTATTAGTAAAATCAGAAGTAATGACGTAAAAGAAACAAAAAAGGATGCACAAAGACGCGATAGGAAGTGTGCTGAACGTAAAAGAACTATGCCCGCTAATAATCTATTATTGCAACATTTATGCTCAAACTATTTAGATGAAACACTAAAGCAAAAAGAATTCGATAGTGATGCCTCCATAGCCATTACAGAAGTCATCGATAAAGAATTAGAATAATTTAAGCTAACTAAGCCATCATGGCAGATGCGCATTACAATGAATAATACTGCTCTGACTAGCGATCGCTATGGATTATTAGACAGAGCAACGGCAGCTATTGCCTCAAGTGCTTTGCAAGATTTTGGTATCGTAACAAATTAAGATCCCAGTCTTGTTGTTGACAAAAATAAAATTAGAAGAGCAAAAGTAGCTAACCGTTTGCAACTTCAAATGCTGAGTAAGGAGAAATATAACCCACTTCAAGGACTGTATTTTAATGGGAGAAAGGAAAAAACTCTAGTGGTTGAAAAAATTAAATCGAAACGGTTTTGAAAAACCATAAAAGAGAAACATTACTCAAAAACCAGGTTCCGTGTACGTTGGTCATGTTTCACCAACTTTTAGGTCTGCTGAAAACATTGCCAGTAGCATTATTTCATATTTAAATGAAGCTGGATTTTCATTTCATTAACTGGACGTAATCGGATGCGATGGAACAGTTTAAAAAACGGAATGGAATTCCGGTGTTATTGCCACAATTGAAAAATATATAAACCGACCACTGCAGTGGGGGATTTTGTCTCTTACACTTCAAAGAATTGCTATTCTGGTGTTTATTTCGAACGTTATACAGAGAAACGACAGGCTTAAAATCATTTAGCGATCCGATTGGCGCACAGCCTAATAAGTGTGAAAAATTCCCAGTGGTAAAATTTGTCAGTGTCCATTGTAAAATTCCAGAAAATGACCGCAAAAATTTAAGCAAAGATCAGCTGTTCCTGTTGGATATTCTTACTCTGATATTAAATCAGGCAGTTGTTCAGAAAATTTATCTGTTTGTGAACCTGGAGCAATTTCACATTCAAGGTGGTTAACAACTGCAAACAGAGTTTTACGATTGAATTTGAGCCTTGAAACCCCAACAGAGGAGCACAAAATTTTATTTTCTTTTCTTTTAAAATCATATGTCCCTGGATAGTTTCATATAAAAAAAAGTAAATACTTCACAAATAGAGCAGAACATGTATTTGAAATGATAAAGTTGTCAAGATTCCTCCCCAATGATTTGTTAAAGTAATAGACCCAGTAATTGAGAGAAACGCTTTTTTCGCACATTCAGAAAACTTGCTTTTATCAAAATTAGCGCCTCCCTTTTGAAACAGACATCATGAAGGAGACTTTTAGCAATAAGACCCTGAAAGGGCCGCATATGAAGGTCCTGTTAGGAAGAGGGGAGGCTTAAGAGCCCCTCCCCTTCCCATCTAGAGATATGGGGTAGCGCTGTAAGTTCCCCAGTTGATGCGCTTATATTATTTAAGTTCATCTAACAACGGGTTTGCAACGTATTACTCACCTAAAATTATGCTAAAGTACCTTATTTTCAGTAGTATTTTGAAAAATCCCTTTTTGGTACCCCATCCCCCAGAAAGGCTCTCGGGGTGACTGCCCCACAAACCCCCCTCCTTATTACACCTCTGTCTAGATATTTGTTAAAGAATTTATTCAATTTCATTTCATTTGTAAGAAATTTACAAAAAGGGGAAATTTCGTAAAACTTTTTTGTTTTTTTGCATTATTCTTAGGTACTCTAAAGACAAGTTTTTTACAGTATAGCGAGTCAAAAATCAGGAAAAAAAAATTTCGGCCCACCCTAGTGTCTAACTTTATTGTGTCTAACTTTAATTATGTCTAACATTTATTGTGTTTAGCTTTAATTGTATCTAACTTTAAATATGTCTATCATTATTTGTAACTAACATTAATTGTATCTAACTTATTTGTGTCTAACTTTAATTGTGCCTATATTTAAATGTGTCTGATATTAGTTGTGCCTAACTTTAATTGTGTCTTACATTAAATGTGTTTAACTTTAATTGTGTCTTACTTTAATTGTGTCTTACTTCAATTGTGTCTTACTTTAATTGTGTCTTACTTCAATTTTAGTTTAACTATATTGGGTCTAATTTTATCTCTGTCTCAATTTAATTGTACCTAATTTTCGTGTGCTTGTGATTACCATTTGACAAAGGCTGGCGCACGCGCAGATTTTCTGTTTTTTGTCATAATTGATGATAAATACATTTAATGTAATGAGGATTGTTTGAGTTTGACAGTCAGATTTACTTATTAATTTGCAAGCTTGAGATGCAAGGTTGATTTGATCTGCTTAATTAATTCTTTTGTCAAAAATCTTTTTCGGACTGTTTGATAAGAAATACTGTTCAACATGCTGTAAATTTGTAAAAAATACAAGAGTTCACTACAACTTTTTAGTTATCAGTAAAGTTTTTCAAACTATATTTTCGAAAAAAGTTCAAAAAAAGATAAAATCAGACAACACTTTTACTAATAGAAACCATTTTTAAGTAAAAACAAAAAAAATCAATTTTTCAACTTTGTCTTAAAACAATCTTATTATAAAAAACAGTGTTTTAAAAAAAAAAAATTAAAATATTGTTAATTTTAATAGTTTATATATATTTTCTTATTAATAAAGTTTTTCATTTTTATTTTTTATTACTTAAGTAATTAAAAATTGCGAATGTAAATTTAAATTCGTTTTAATTTTACATAACTCACGAATTATTTTAAAAACCTCCCGCATATTAATTTTAGGTTTCTCCCGAAAAGCAAACAATTTTGGCGCAATATTATTTATACAGGTTTTAAACTGTAAACAATAATGCGCTTATTATTTGCTACTGAGGCTATTTGCTGTTTTTTTTTTAACCATTTTTGATTCCAATATTTAAATAAACGAAATGAATTGTTTATTTTTACGGAATTTCTTTTCTTTTTTTTTTTTTTGTTACTGTGTTTTATTTAGTTTAATCTTTAATTGATTTTCTTTTGTATAATTTAAGACTTTTTTTAACAATTTTTTAAATTTAAATTTAGGTTCTACTTTTTTTTGCGTGGGTTATTATGGCTACATGGAATAACTATTATTATTATTCGTCTTTTTCCAGCAAAATATCCTTTTTCTTAGCTACTACTGTCATTCCTTGGTTAATTTTTTCAATACTGTTCTTTGTATTTCTCTGCAAGGTCCATATTAAGTTAGCAGCAGTAAATTGGCCGCTTGCGGTAAGATATCCCTTTATAATTTTTGTTTTGCTTTATTGTTTAATTTTTTACAGCTGTATTGTCAATGCTTTGTTTACAAAACTATTTAGATATTTATAACAAATCTTTATACAAGATGAACAGTTTACTATAAATTTTTGTTAGTATAACAAAATCACCAAATTGGTTAAAGTTGGTTTGACAAGATTCTCTCTTTAAAAATTTATTTGTTTATGTACTTTTTTTTTGGTTGATGTATAAAAATACATAAATGATCGAAAAACTATTATGTAAAACCTTTCATTTAGACAATAAAAAAAAAAGAAAAAACGAAAAGGAAAAAAAGAAAAAAATTTGCTATTCTCGTAATATAAAAAGAATGGTTTAGAACCTTGTCAAACCAACGCGAAGATTTGTTGAATTCTGACGTATATTTGTTTTCCAATATTATATAAATCTAACTCATCAGTAGAGATTTTTAAGTTTATATTTAAAGAATATGATTTTACATAAGTGTACTAAATCTGTAAAGTTTTATCAGTATTTAAAAATGATCGGTCGTTTGAAAAGACACCTTTTACCCGGATTTTATATGTTTTGCTGCGGAAAAATATTTTACATGATTAGCTGTAAAGAAAGTTACAGGATTGGCAATGAGATAAATACTAATGAAATTTGAATCCATGTTTTTTTTTTCTTATCAAATGCTCTCAGGTATTTCTTGACGTTCAATAAGCAAACAAGTTTGTAAAAAAATTGTTTCTATGCTTTAACTTTTAACACTAAAAAAACTATATCAAAGTTATCCTTACAATGCATTTGACTATAAGTTATCGTCTAATAATTGTAAAGCCGTTTAAATTAAATTAAACCTTGGTTACTGTAATAATGGAACCCAAAACCATAAAATATAAACTTATATAAAATATTTCTTTGGATATAAAAGATAATGCGTTTCTACTTCCCCAAATTAGAACAGAGATCCACATTTTTTTTAACTTGATGTTTTTTTCTTTGTAGAAAGTCTTTAATAAATAGCATTTATTATACTTCCTGATCTCACGGTTTGGAGCAAATTGTCTGTTGAGTTTTAGCTTCAAAAATGCCTAAGTATATTCTTAGATTGATTTCGATAGATATTATATTATCTATCGAATATATTATCTATCTATTACCAACTCAGGGTTTACAATTTGTTTAATTACTGATTATTAATAATCTGTAATTGAACAAATTGAAAATCCTGGTATCACAAAAGAATTTAATGACTCTAAAATCTAAAATTAAATAACAAAAATATAGATGAATAAATTTTAGCTTTAGCAAGACTTAAAGAATTGGCTTAACTAAATTTTAGTTTTTCTAATTGCCGTGTGAGATTTAAAGTTATGCACTTAACTTTAATTGCACGTAAGTTTGGCAAATTTTAATTAATTCTTCCAATTATTCTAATAAGGTAAACATTATATAGTTTATTTCACATTACCTAAAACGAAAATATTTGAACATTAAGTTTCACAATTGATTAAAAAAAATAGTGGTTTTATGAAGGATAAAAGTAAAGTGGGTTTCGCAGATTTACAAGTGGGATAAGCATTTATCAGGCAATATAAAATAGTTTTCTGTGTCAAGTGCCGCAGTTTTCAACAAAAACAAACTTTTATAATGGTCAGGCCGTGTTTAATAAAAAGCAGATTCTGTAGAAGATGTTTCTGAGCAAATTATTTTGAGAAGCCCTTAAAGAATAATAAAGTGTATTTTAACAAAACTAATTTTTAACATTGTTAAAGATACCAAATACAAAATACAAGAAAACGCCAAATATTACTTTTTTTTTTGCAGAAATAATATATTAAACAAATTTACAAAATATTCTGTAATTTAGTTATTATTGCTCTTTTTTATTATGTTTGGTTGTCTGGACAACTAGTTTATATGGTCGTGTAGTTTATGTGTCTGGGCGTGTATTTTATGTGAGCTTCTTATTTTTCTGAAAGTTTTGGACGTGTACTTTATGTGAGCATCTTATTTTTGAGAGTTTAATTTTTGATCGTGTTTATACAACAGGTAAATTAGAGTTTATACATTTTCAAAAATTTTTGCAATTAAAGAATAACCAGTTGTGTGCATACAACAAAAAAATATTTTTCTGTAATAAAAATAATACTATTAACACAACTTTTTTAAAACAAACAAAATTATCTCTAATAGATGAGACAACGAATGCTATCAATTTTGTTATTAACCTTGCAATCAGAGTGAATTGCATCCTGCACATTGCAGGTGAATTTTCCTGTCATGAGGATACATATAACACCTTTTAAAATGCTTCTCTAGTAATGATTGTTCTTGAATATGTTGTTTTTTTGGAATTAGTTGGAGAAGATTACCATTTGAAACTATTCAGAGAAGGTTGTTATTTGCATCTAATAATTCTTTTAAAAATTCCATTTTTGTAATGTAGATGAATTGATATGAATAAAACACATGCATTTTATGCTGCTATATTCAAAAAAATTGCAAACCAATGTAAATGGCCACCAACTACTCTTTGTAATACAGAATAATACGTACTTTTTTATTTTAGTCAACAACAATTTCATTATTGTAATAAAAGGTCGATGTTAATATGACTGCTTTATTTTTTTTTGGTACATAAAAAACTACAGTAGAGTTGATTTGAAAATTAAATATTCTACACTAAACTAGTGGATCTAGACTTGAGAGTAAACTGTTAGAAATTTCTTGATTATTTTTTTTATGGTACCAGTGTTAGTCATTTTACGCCTAAGCAAACCACGAGCTAGATAAATGTTTAAGTCCCCTAAAACTAATTAACTGCTCATATATAATAAGGTTTATAGTTGCTTGTACGTTTAGTATAATAAGGTTTATAGTTGCTTGTACATTTAGTATAAAAAGGTTTATAATTATTTGAACATTTAGTATAATAAGGTTTATAGTTGCTTGTACATTTAGTAAAATTAGGTTTTTAGTTGCTTGTACATTTAGTATAATAAGGTTTATAGTTGCTTGTACATTTAGTATAAAAAGGTTTTTAGTTGCTTATACATTTAGTATAATAAGGTTTATAGTTGCTTGTACATTTAGTATAATAAGGTTTTTAGTTGCTTGTACATTTAGTATGAAAAGGTTTATAGTTGCTGTTGTAGCAAACCATCCTTCAAATCTAATTCTGAGCTCAGCATTGGTGCAACAATTGATAATAGTTTTATTCATTTCGGGTGTTATAAAAAGTTTAAAGGCAGAATCCAATCTTAAGCCGCGAACCTGAGATGAAAGCCTTGTTTTTCAAATTTTATTTTGAGCACGTGGCAAAGTAGCATTTACTACTGGAAATTTATTCTAAATTACTATTTTTTAAAATCATATTTTAATTTAAAGTTTTATTTTTTTGAACAACATCTTTATTATTTTTATTAGAAATGATTTGATGCAATCCTCTATAATTTTTTATCATCAGTTGTGATTTTCTTCACAAGATTTTCATCAACTGAGTCATCCCTTAAACATAGCTCATATAAACGAAAAATAATATTATTAGTTAGTGCAAAACATCTTGCATTTAATCTAAAAACACGTTATGTTAACAATTATTTTTTATCATTATTTAACATTTGCAACAAAATAATATAAATATGAAACAACAGCAACCTCTTTGGGTGGTGTTGCGTCCCCCACATTCCACGTAATATCGTCTCTGCCTCTTGTTGTTACAATGCCTTTATGTATATCGCAAAATATCCTAGCCTTTTTTTAACTTAACTATATTTTTAACTTTTATTATTTTTATTAATTTAGTAGTAAAACAAAAGCATTTTATAATAATAAATTTTTTGTAAAATAATAAAAGCGACCTCACATTTTCCGATGCCGACAATGAGGTCGTTAAAATAAAAATAATCAATAAAAATAAAAAAAAACGTTGTTGTAATTACTTGTTACAGACCACCTAATGGCAATATTATCAAACTTTCTAACTATTTGAATCAGATCTTAGAAGACTTAAACATAGATTTTTTAAAATACAACGAAAACATTAAAATCTTCTTTGATAAATTATTTCAGCTTGGTATACTCTCACAAATCAACAAATCTACCCGAGTCAGCTCAACCTTAATTACAGATAATTTACTGACCAACTCATTTTTAGACATATCCTTAAAAACCCGAATATTTAAAATTGATATATCAGACCATTTTCCAATATTCTTCTCACTTACACAAAACTCAGCGTCATTAAATAATTCAAAAATCAAAACATATAATATTAACGAGTCTTTTACTAACGAATTTAAAGAAACCTTATCAAAAGCAAATTGGTAAAATGTTTATCTACAATGCGACCGAAGATTTACAAATTTTGCTTTTAATATATTTATTAATACTTTTCTTGAGCACTACAACACTTTCCAATTATTGAAAAAGAAATAAAAATTAATTATTTGAGATGTTCATGAATAACAAGCGGAATAAAAAAAATCGTCTAAAAAAAACAAAAACTATACAATAAATATTTAAAAAATAACAAAATCTTACTGTTTATAAAAAATACATAAACTTTTTTGAAAAAGTTAAAAAAAGATATCTGAAAATTTTTCTAAACAATTACAAAGCACAATAGTAGTATTAAAAAAATCATGGAAAATTATGAACAAAATTGTTGGAAAAATCAAAACTAACCCCGAAATATGAGGGTAATGAACTATTTCCCTCCAGAATTAAAAAGTATACAGAAAAAAAAAACTCCGACAATTTTAATAATTTTTTTGTAAATATTGGTCATAAACTGGCATCCAAAAAAAAAACTCCAACAACTCTTTTAATAAATATTTTACTGACCATTCTAGCTCATTCATTCTCTGAGAGTGACCTAAAATCTGAAGAATTTGAAGAAACAACAAAACCAATTAGAAAAAAACAAGCTCTGGGCATCGATGACATCCAGAAATGTAGTATATGATATTTTATACATTTTAAAAGATCCTCTTTTAAAGGTT